ACCTTTTGATAGCTGGGAACCATCAGCTTTCTTTGCCACATTTGCTTATGCACCCATTTGTTTTCAGCGATCATATCATGGAGGTGAGCACACAATGATATGCTTTTTGTTCTTTGATGCCAGATAACTGATTCCTTGGGCAGCTTTTAAGACCCCAGATGCTATATCCTTTGATAGCCGGGCACCATCAGCTTTCTTCACCACTTTTGCTTATTCATTTGCTTTGTCTTCCGTGGTTGTGTCAGGAAGGTGAGCATCATAGAATGCCAATTTAATAGAACAAAGTATTCTTGCATTGAGGGAATACTTGAGTGGATGGCCCCTACTCTTGTACTGGCCCATAATATTGAAATTTTCCATCTTCTCTTACCACACATGTAGTCAAATAGATTGCTGTGTATTTCACCCAGCAAGGCCCATATGTATAGTCACCATTTCTATTACTGATATAATGTATTTGCATTAAGTAAGTTGTGGTCCTGCAAAGTTCTATGATGTGATCTCTGCCATCATTTCTATCACCTAGGTTATATTTCCAAGTAACAATCCTCTTCTTTGTTTTCAACTTTTGTATTCCAATTACAGGTAATCATGATTACATGTTTGATCAATTTAAGATGACAGAAGTTGGATAAAATCTTCAATTTCTTTGTCTTTGGCAATAGTGGTTGGTGTGTAAATTTGAATATTAGTCATATCACCTGGTCTTCCTTGTAGTGTATGGGTATTATCCTGTTAAGGACAGCATTATATTGCAGGGCAGATTTTGAAATTTTCTTTGTGACAGTAAATGTAACAATAGTGCCCTTCAATTTGTCACTCCAGGTAAAGTAGATTACTTGATTCCAAATGGCCAAAACAGGTCACTAGTGCTTATTTACAAGTGCTCAATTTCCTTTTGACAACTTCCAATTTTCCTATATTCATACTTTGTACATTCCATCTTCTGATTAGTAATGGATTTTGGCACTGTCTTTCCCCATTAGTTGCTGTTAGGTGTCATTGAACTGGTTCCAAGTCTTTGAAACCCTCTGGACAACTCAACACAACACTGCCAGGTTCTGTGTCAGCCTCATTTGGCCAACCCTCCACCAAGCACGATTCCCCATTTCTCAGCTCCCTTATAGCCAGGTTCTGGCCAAGGCAGTGTAAGTGGATATTGCAGAATGGGGATTCAGGAAAGCTCTTTAAAAGAGGACAGAAAATTGGCATGAACTTTGCCCTCTACCCTTCCCTTTCTTCATGCCTAAAATGTGATGCAATGCTGGAGGTAGAGTCACTATCTTGTAGTCTTGACATGACCATGAACACAGGGGCTTCAACTAGGACTAGAACTGCAGAAACTCAGAGGAGACATTGGTTGTTAATGGTGTGATCTAGCTGCCACACCTGTTCTGAACGACTTACCCCTGAATCTCTGAACATGAAAGCCAAAATCCAAATCTATCATTTGTTTAGGCATCTCTGTTACTTGCAGTCAAACTCAATGTGCAACTGAATCCAAGATATACTTAGTTTATGATAACAAGTATGGAGGAGCCCTGGTGGTGTAGTGGTTATGAGTTGGGTTGCTAATCAGAAGGTCAGCTGTTTGAACCACCAGCGTCTCAGTGAAACAAAGATGAGACTTTCTAGAATTACAGTCTCTGAAACCCACAGGGGCAGTTCTACTTTGTCCTGTAGGGTCTCTATGAGTCACAATAAACTCAATGACAGTGAGTAGTAGCAATATGAGCAATAATAATAATAATAAAGTAATAATAATAATGCATGGAGTATAAAAGAAGATGGAAGGAATACACAGTCACTTTACCAAAAAGAATTGGTCGATGTTCAATGCTAGTAAGCGTCAGGCTGCGCACCACAAGGTCAGCGGTTTATAACCACCAGTACCTAGCAGGAGAAAGAGGAGGCTAGCTGCTGTCGTAAAGATTCACAGTGTTGGAAACCGAGAAGGACGGTTCTATTCCATCTTAATAGGGTTGCTGTGAGTTGAAATGGCCTCGGTGGCAGTAAACTTGAGTTTACAGGAGCCCGGACTTTACATCTGATGGGCCTAGTAACATGTTCTGCGACAAGACCTTGCCCAGCACTTCTCAGCTGTAAAGACTTCACTTGTCAACGGAATAAAGTACCTATCACAGGGTTGTTTTGAGGACAACTTGAGCTGATACATTTAGGTGTGGCACTCATTTTTCTGGAGCTGCTGTAACAATGCACCACAAAGCGGGTTGCTTATAAGAACAGACATGTATTGCCTCGCCACAATCAGGATGTTGATGAGGTCGATTCCTTCTGAGAGCAGCCCTGAGGGGGAATCTGCTTCATGCCTACATTCTAGCTTCCGGTGACAACTTCTCATCCTTGGTGCTACTCCTCTGCCTGTCACTGTGTCCCTCCTCCTCCTCCTTCTTCTTTTTTTAATCTAATGCCACTTAGATTGGATCAAGTGTCAACCTGTTCTAGCAAGACCCCATGTTAACCTAGCTGATCACATCTTCAAAGACCCTCTTTCCAAGCACAGCTACATTCACATAGACCAGGGGTTAGAACTTCAGCATATAATTTGGAGGGAGACCCAATTCATTTCATAGCCAGTGCTGTTTGCACAATGCTTGACATATCCCGAGGGCTGGCTAGGTGACAGGAGAAACCTGGAGTTGTCTTCCACTCCATATGAAGGAGGTATACTTGTGTTCAAGAGAAGTGATGAAGAGTACGGGACCCGGCCACAGTGTGCCTTGGACATTCTGTTGTACAACTCTTGGACTTCATCCAGCTCACCTGAAGTCTGGTCGTCCTTACAGTACTAATTTCGGACTGTCATACATCCCTGGTCCTTTTTAGGGCGTGATCCCTACAGACCACTTTTAGGAAGCTACCCCAGTCCACTCCTAATGAGGAGCAGCTGAATACATGGAGCAGAGACCACACATAAGTCATGTCCTTAAGGCCAACCCCTCAGTCTCAAGTCACTCCATCAGAAGTAGGTGTCTGTCCTACTTAGCAAGGTCCTAATGGGAAAACTCACTCCTAAGAGACAAAAGCCAGATGAAACACAACTGTACAAGAATAAATTTATATTGTTTTAAGCCCTGCCAGTTTGTAGGACTTTATTAAAGATGCCACAGTAAACTAACATACCACTTTACCATACAGTTGCTGAGGGAATCAATTTGCACCCAGACATCTTGAAGCACCGATCAGTGGCCCCATCATAGCTGCCCTTCTGAGGTTCAGATGGAAGTGCAGCGTCTTGCTTGGCAGGGAAAGACCAGGTCATTAATCCTTTGCTGCAGAAAGATGTAGAACATTTCAGGACTTACTTATCCAACAAAAGTTGAAGATACATGAGATAATTAGTCCAATAAGCTAAGACCACGTCAGTCTCCATGACCCAGAGATGGAAAAACTAGATGGTGCCCGGCCACCCCTACCACAGCTCTGAAAGGGATCACATGAGAAGGTCCTGGGCAGAGGGGGAGAAAATTGTGGAACAAAATTCAAAATCATAAAAGAGACCAGGTTTATTTATTTAAAAGAGACTGGCGGAGTCCTGGTACAGTATAGCACCGACAAAACATA